TATTGATTTACAATTACATTACAAAAAGGTATTAAAGGCATGGCCAGTGTTGTGATTATTGTGGTAAAACCATGGCAAGTGTTGTGTAACTGTTTCAACTATAAACACCACAGTAAAACTATGGTTACTGTGGTAAAACCATGGCAAGTGTTGTGTTACTGTTTCAACTACAAACACCACAGTAAAACTATGGTTACTGTAGTAAAACCATGGCAAGTGATTTGTTACTGTTTCAACTACAAATACCACAGTAAAACGACAGTTACTCTGGTAAAACCATGGTAAGTGCTGTGGTTACTCATGTGCTCTAACTACAAATAGTAGACAGTAAAAACAGTTATTGTGGTAAAAGCATGCAAGTTACTGTGCTTTAACTACAAATACCACAGTAAATTTAACGTTACAGTTACTGTGTTAAATCCAAGGTATGTGTTGTGGTACTTTGCTTTAACTACAAATACCACAGTAAAACCACAGTCTTAAAAGCATGGCGTTGTCTTATTTAACTAAAAATACCACAGTAAAACTAATTACTATGGTAAAAATGTATGGGCACTGTGCTTTAACTAGCAGGATCGAGCTAATATACTGTGGTAAAATCACATTCATTTAGTGGCAATCGCAACCCATTTGTAAAGAAAAAACATCAAACTACACTTATACTTACACATGAATTGCCGACAGTCACAACGATACATTAAATAGATCTTTAAATAAAATAAAACAGATATTGATTACGGCGGTCAGGGACATTCTTTTTCTTGCCGCATTTTGTTTTTATTGGTAACGACAGTCAAAGGTCATTTGATGACGACACACCCGATAAACGAGACTGTCATATATAAGACTGCTAGAGGGCGCTTCATTTTAAAACGCCACTATAGGTCGTAATACGCTGCATGTACAAACGACATATGGGGTCGTTTTTCGGAGGAGGACAGTCTCGAACCAGTGCATCAATCTTTTTTAATGTGTTATTTGAGAAGTCTCACTCCAGTTCTTCCTCTCTCCTTTGTTGGCGACCACACACAAGAGGCGGAGAGCTGAAAGCCTATTATCCACGAACACTTTCAGCGGGGTACTGTTATCTGTTTTCTCGTCTCGAAGCTAGTTTTAAAGACACCCACAACTGAGTCTTTCTCCTCTTTTGCGGATTCAAAATCAGGGCAGATTCAAGAACAAACATAGTCTCACACCGGATTTCAAAAACAAAGAAAGTGTAGAGTTAGGGAGGAAAATTGTGCTATTATAATAATCCAAAGAGAATTATTGCACAAAAGAGAATTTGAAACTATATGAGAATACACGATAGCACTGACAATAATGTATTTAGAGCCAAAGTTTTCTCACTACTTCCAATTAGACCAATGGAACTTTCATAATAACGGCAACTTATGTAAGTGATAGGTTTGTGTAGTTTCAACATTGATAAAGAGGAGACACAAGATGGTCAGATATAGATTTACCCTTTATATTTGCATTCAGATATTTAGAGATTATTCCACATACACTATACTGTTAAAACGTTTGGGGTTGGTAAGAATTTTTTAAATGTTTTTGAAAGAAGTCTCTCATGCACATCAAGAAAATAACTGTTTTCTATTTTAGTATCGTTTAAAATGTATTTTATTCCTGTGATGCACAGCTGAATTTTCAGCATCATGACCCAAGTCTTCAGTTTCACATGATCCTTTAGAAATCATAATATGGTGATTTGATCCTCAAGAATTATTTTTTATATTATTATTCATGGTGAAAACAGTTGTGCTGCTTCATATTTTTGGTTATATTATGATACATTTCGCATTTTTGCGGAATATAATTATTAGTCTGAAAAACATAAACTGTATTTCACATTGTATTCATTTTTCATAAGCCAACATGAATTGCTGAAAGAGGATTTTCAATGAGACAGAACTTGAAAAGGTCTTGAAAAGAGATGAAAAGGAAAGTCTTTTCAGAGTGCATTTTGTGAATGTGAAGACCATTTTTTTTTCTTTGGAATAATGTGCACCAATGGCTCATGCAACATAAGGCTTGCAATTGTGGTTATATTAAGGCTTATAGGTAAAAATGGCCTCACCATCAACTGTTAACCTGAATTTGGTATTGCAAGAAAAAAAAATACATCAACTTCAATTGGAGATGTGTTGTAGAACATTCTCCAGGCTGATGGGGAGGTAGAAACTGTGTGGCCTTTCATAAAGACTGAAAGAGACTGAGAGAGTGATGGATTGGCTGGACATACAAGGACTGAAATCTTGTCATGGTTGAACCAACAAGATGACAAGTACCATAGCATTTAAGATTTACAAAGACTTAAGATTTTCTGTACAGTTTCAGGTGAGAGATGATCCTTATGGTTTGTTTTTTTACCCTGAGGAAAAAAAAGAAGGGTTGGATATCATGGTGCTGTCAATTATCATCCTGATGTAAAGGTCAACTGATAGCAACTCTCTTTATTCGATTTATTTATCTCACTTAGAGTTAGACTGGACAATATCCAAAGGTCACCTCAAGTAAGACAGCTGCCTTTGTACATTTCAAAGCACTTTAAATCAGTCGTCTGGTGCATCTTGACAGCTTTAACACTGTGTTAATGTAAAATAGTACATACCTGTATTCTGTTAGCAATGGAAGGGTTTTTTTTAACAAACGTCCTCAATCACAAAAGAGCTCAGACCATGACTGCCTATTCTGCAGTCTGTTACTATTGGAAACAAGGAAACAAAGATAGAGGCTGAAGCTTGATATAAAAGAAGAGCAGTGGCATATCATCACTGAAGTGATAAACTAGTTCTAAATCCCATTGTCTCTGAAGGGAAGCCTTAACCTGAGGAGATGGAGACTTCAAGTTCTTGCTCAGTTTGAGGCAGGGATGCTTAATCATGTTGGGAGAATTGAGTGATTTCAGTCTGAGTATGTTGTCTTTGATGTTTTTTGATGTCTTGAAACGTTGCACGAGAAGTGCTGTGTTTCCTTGTACTCTCGTGTGGGATGACTCACTGATGAAATGGCAGAGAGATGGTGAAAAAAACAAACAAAAGGATAAAATAACAGATCACCATGTGAACACAGCCACAGGTGGGCTCGGCAAGCAAACAGCTAATTTCTTGAGCTCCAAATATTGGAAAGAAATGTCTCATTATATCCCACCAAAAAAGACACTGTATAACAATTTTGCAAACCTGTTATATGCTTATTTGGGGAGTTAATCACAATCAAGTTAGCAAAATATCTATTGAACGAACACTGAACAGATTCTTTGTAGGCCTGGCGATGACTCATGCTAATCAACGTCTTTCACGTTCTCTTGATGATAGCAATCTTCTACCTTCATCAGAATGTGTTTCAGGAAGTACAAAGGTGTCAAGCAGTGCCCTTTGTTCCCTGTCTTATTTTGCATTGATGAACACTTGATTCTTAACATGTTTAGGATGTGTTCAATGCAGAAACATTTACATTGTTTGCATATATGTATATATAGGGGTAGTTTAATTTACTTAAGAGACCAACTAAAGCTAGGCTTTATGTTGTCAAAAATTATTATTTTATTTTATTTAGAAATTAAATAAGTAAACTTAAGAGTTGCAGTCAGTATATAATAAAATGTATAGCCATCTGCATCTGTGGAAGCATCAATAACTTCCTCCTCAAAGATATCTGACCTCTTACCTCTCATTTGAGACAATCCATTCCCAGACGTATACTTCTCCATCCCCCACCTTCTGTCTGCCTTTTCTCCGTGTGCTGAGATTCAGTGTTCTTTTTAAACATCCTTCAAAATAAATAAAAAAAGGAACTCAAATGCTGTTGATGGAAAAAAAAATCTATGTAACGCATTTCTAATTTTTATACAGAAATGATTGGATTAAAAAAGAATGCTGTACCTCATTTTTAGGGTGGAGAAAAATCAATGTTTCCAATGTATGTGTGATTTAGCAATGAGTTCCATCAAAGATCTCAACAAACTGAAAGAAATTTAGCCTCTGTCAGCTGATTTAAGCTTTTTTAATAATTACTAAATAGCTTTATTAAAATATTTTTTATCTTCCATCCATCATGTTCTATTCTTCACAATCTTCTAATGTGTGAATAACACATTCAACAAATTTAATTCAGATAAACAGGGTAGCTGGTTCCTGTTATACTCACCATTTTTAAAGATGGAAATCATATTTGCTTTCTTTTATCACAACAGCACAATTAAGTCAGCATGGGTGTGGATTGTAAATAATTGTGCAAACATTGTCATTTTTGTCATCTCCCCAGTGCTATGTTGATTCCCTAACAAAAAATGTTCCAAACAAAACATGTTTCCTTGCAGACTTGTAGGCCTAATTGGCAATCATTTTATAGGTTTTCCTGTGCCCCAACTTCACCATGCTAACAAAAACTAGCAAAAGCTTGGTCATATGATGCTGCCTTCACATAAGCTTTTTTTGGTACAAGATTAGCTAGAAACTAGCTAACATTAGGCTATCTCACGTAGGTCTACAACTTCACATTTGACAATATGTAGGCCTATTTATGATCATTCCAATAGCATGTGAAATGTCATTATCATTGAAACACCCCATCTTGGTATAAAATTATCCTACAGAAAACACTATGATAATATAATTTATCAAGTTGACACCCTCATACAAGCTAACTCATTCATTGACACTAAACCATATTAATCACGGTCGATTAAGCAGTATTGGAGAACACTGTGTTTTACACTTACAAACACACACCGCATCTTTTTGACTAATTCCACACCCTCTCTCTATCTTGATGCAAAGGGCAAAGCGGGCGGCCCGCACTCCCACAATAACAGTCGTGACGTCAGCCCGTCACCGCTCCCGTTGGATGCAGCAGCGGAGCTGAGAGAGAGAGAGAGAGAGAGAGAGAGAGAGAGAGAGAGAGAGAGAGAGAGAGAGAGAGAGAGAGAGAGAGAGAGAGAGAGAGAGAGAGAGAGAGAGAGAGAGAGAGAGAGAGAGAGAGAGAGAGAGAGAGAGACTGAACGAACCGTGATTGAAAGAGAAGAGAGTTGAACGGCGGTGGCGGCAGCCATCTTAAAACTACCGCACTAATCCGAGATATATACATCTTCTGGATATTTTTGCAACACTGAGCTGAATCAATTTTATCCAGCGTGAGGAGATAGAATAACATTTTTTAAATCGTTCACTGTTTTTATTACGAAGACGGGATGCGGATCCGTGGGGCAGTCGGTCTGCTTTTAGGACTATTATGCGCGGTGGAGGCAGCCAAAGGTAAGATTCAAGACCTATATTCATAATGTAAATGTTTAAGTGTTTCTCTTTAAAAATGTCCTTTGGTATATGACCATAATTAAAATAATTTTAAAGGTTATTAATGTTCCTGTGAGTATCCTCGGTCAAGGTTTCTTGACAATTATCTGAAATAATCGCTCAATATCAGTGTGTGGATGTTGCGTCCGTACATCGCTGCTTATAAAAAATCAATCTCTACTCTAATTTTCCGTCATGAAAAGAAAAGATGTCATGAAATAATTGCCGTGGCCTGTCAGCTGTGAAATGTACACTCTCCCTTACGGTTCCGCTTCACTTGACAGCTATTTTTGAGTGTCAATCCTTTAAAACAACGATCTTTTGTGCCAACACCCCGTGGCCAAGAAGACTTCAGCCTACAGCTATTTGTGTAACGTTATATCATCATAATCAGAGCATATTGCTTGCAAATCAAATCTGTGTGCTTGATTTTTACTCCATTCTCAAAGGCGATTTGTGGCATTTTATCCGATAACAAGTTGTTTGTGATTTGTACTGTTATACCGATCAGATAGTGTGTCCGCATTGCAGATCCTCTGTCAAATACTATGTGGTCTAATTTTAAAAATTCATCTTTCAAATGGCTCACGCGCAGCTAAATATGACTGAAGGACATCGCTGCAGGTGCACGAGCACACATTACAGCAATGACACGGCTTGATGTGCGAAACATTTGCTTGTGAAACGCTGCCTTTCTAGAAATATCCTGCCTTGCAGTTACCTGGTTCATTATTTTTAAAGATAAGTGCGATTTTGCTGTGAAGTTGAACTTTAATATGCTGATCTTATGAAAGAAATTGACCATTTAAAAGAGCGATATTGTTTGACTGTACATGGGTCAATGGCGTCTCTAGTATTTTTAGTCCAGATCAAATAAGATATACAAAAATAGTTTACAAAATGCTTTTATGATGAGAAATAGTTTCATTTTCTTGATTTTAAAGTCCTTTTGACGTTTTATTTTTGAGAGGCAATGTTTAAAACTGCCTTCTGTTGTGTAGTACACTTGAGTGTTCAAGGTGCGAGGGAAGTATTTTAGTAGGCTACTTCTTGTTTTATGGTTACACCACTTGACATTTTAGTCATTAGGTCATTTTTTGTACAAAATGGTAAAAAACAAACAAAACTGATTATAAAACACCTATCACGTTGGTTTTAGCCAGTAGTGTGTGCGTGCATGTGTTGATTAGTGATTAGCCTAGTTGATTAGTGGTTTTCAATTGGTTTTGCTTCCAAATCCACGTTTACATTGGACATCAAGTGGCGAACCTACACAGTACCTCAGTTTTTGTAAACAAAGATGTCCTTGAAATCAAACATTGAATCCATTATTATAACCATGACTTTCATAGTACAACAATAGGGAAAATTGTAATAAAATAGTAAAATTATGGGAATGCATGAACACAACAGAAGTGTGGTTTACCAGACACTGGGACCAATATTGTATTAATATTATCCATATTACTAGTGGCTAGTGAGACTGAATTCAAATTCTGTTGAGCTTGATTGGACGCAAGGGCATTGATGTCAACAACAATTCATATCTTAGTCATTTTCTAAATTTTTTCAAAAAATGTATAAGCTTAAAGTAACACTATGTAGTTTTTCAACCTTCATAATATATTTCCAAGACCCTTGTGATGTTACATCGACTTAAAATAAGTTAAATGACACGTCTGCCATAGCCTGTCAAGCATTCTTCTCTTATTAGTCTCGTATTCACATACTTAAATGTCCACCTCCACAGATGATGGCTGCGTCCGAAATCGCATATGCTTTCCTTCTATATAGTGTGACCGAATTCACAGTACTCATAAAAGAGTTGGCAAAAAGTACCAGGATGACCTACTAGGCCCACTACCGGCGAGATGCTGAAGTGTGCATAAAATGGACACTTTATTATATACAAGGCCTCGGGAGAGGATTTGCGAATGGCAGTGAAGCAATTCAACTGAGGACGATAGGTCACATGATGACAACATGGTGAATGTAGTACATCCAAATTAAATTTAAACTTAAGACATTCATAAAGAACATACTTTTTTAGTACTCGCAAAGTAAGTAGACTATGCATTCAAAATAAGTACCTACTCAAGAGAGTATGCGATTTCGGACGCAGCCCATGTCTCACTCACAGTGTTTATTAGCCTTAAATAACTTTATTACCCTTGATGCATTTGACAGGCTCTCTTTAAGCTTTGTTTAAACACCTGCTCACTTCCCTGCTATTATCAGTTTAATGAAAACCCCACCTTTTCACTGGATTACACACCCCTGCAAACGGCCATGAGATGTCTAAGAAGAAGTAATAACGTGTTCTTTTAGTGGCTGCCATATATTTATTTTTCTGAAGGATGGCGAGAGATGAATTAACACATTAATTAACCAGGGAGGAAATATCTGACTGTCATTAAATAGCTTACATCATTAACAAGTGGCAGAAAGAATGGGACGTGCATAAAAATAATAAACTGTATGAAATAAACCCTAGTTAAAAAAATAAGTTTCTTCAATAACGTAATTCAAATCAAGACATGACTAAGTCGTCTTCACAAGGTGCCGACTGAGTCACTCAAGACTTAAACACGGGTTTCTATTGATAGGCCAAGTTCCGCCTTCTGGTCTTATGTCAAGTTGAGATGTTTTATATATATATATATATATATATATATATATATATAAAAGGATTGTTATGTTGTCCAAACAATATAAAATTTGATTTTGTGTGAGGGTGTGAAGGATTTTTTTTATTTCGTTGATGTAATACTGAAGGTTGAGATCTTTGGAAAGTTAGGCCTAGTATAAACTCACTCTCTCTCTATCACAGCTTATAAGGGCGAATTATTTCTACAATGTGGCTCCTATAGTGACAGTTGGTGATTTGATTGGTACAAACTTTAAGAAACATTTGTCAGAGAAGAATATCCATATCCATAGCTACTAATAGATCCCTTAAGCAGTTCACAACATTTTGGATTGAAGGAGATCTTAAATAAACAGCTGCTTGTTTGACTCTTGTGCCCCTTGGTCAAATGGTTTGCTTGTTTCAATCCTGTAGCAGAATGTCTTAATTTACAGGTGTGGCTTGATGGATAATCTCTCAGGATTCTTCTCATAGGAACTAGAAGAACACTTTTAAAGTGTTGGTTTTGCAGATAGACGTCCATTAGCAGATCTCTGCTCCGATGTAAGCTTTGAAGGGCCCATTAATTCTAGGAACTGTGAATTCACACAGCATAAAGAGGATGGATAAAATAAGCTGAGCAGACTTTCTCTCAGGAGGAGGTAGTGGACTTATTGTTCCTGTGAAGCAGGGAACACACAGGGACTGTTTGCACGCTGTTAGAACTTAATTAATTTTATGCTTTTAGAGTTTATTTGAAGTGTTTTGAAAGCATTTGGCTGATTAAAATGTTATTTTACTTTGTTATCATATCTGTTACAGACATGGGTTGTTTTTTTTAGTTTCTCTTTCGTGTTTTCCACCCTCTGAATGCAGTTGTTTAATGGCCGAGAACCCAAAGTTTCATATGTTGTGCTATTTATTCATGGAATTTGTACTCTGGGAAACAGAGAGTCCCTTGGCCGAGAGCTCAGAGCCGTGCGCCGCAATAAACGCGTCACAATGCGCCCACTGTTAGACGCAACTCAGAATTATTTGACTTATGTACCAATCTGGAATTCCAAGTACTTTCTAAGCATAACAGTTAACAAAGCATTGCTCATCTGTTTAAAAAAAAAAAAAATGCTGCATTTTCAGTTTTGGTTCAGCCAGTGTGGTGGAAATTCACTTAGACAATCAGCTCTTAGTCATCGTGGCGGCTGGGCAGTCGGTGGTAATTTCATTGGCCCCTTTGCGAGCTGAATTGAGTCAGTGATCTGTCAAGAATAGGTCATTACGTACTAAATATAAGGTCTGTCTCTTTGACTCGCATGGTAGCCGGTTGACTGCTATTGTTGATCTTCCTAAAACAACATGCTGCTTTTGAAGTAAACAGACCAAATCATGTGTCTGTGTTTGTATATTTGTGCTCTACTGAGGGATGTGCAAAACATTTTCGAAATGGAAAGGTTGATTGCTTAAAAAACGAATAAAAGTTTCAGGAATCTGCCCCAAGTTAGATGTGTTTCTTAGCGGGGACGTTAACATAAAGTCCAAAGTTAATGTCGTGTTTTTTTTACGCATGCGCTAAAATACATATTTAAATTGTTTAACTTCTAATGAGCACACTACCATTCAAAAGTGTGGGGTCAGTAAGGGATTTAAGAAAATACTGTGGTAAATAATAAAGCTGAATTTTCAGCAGCCATTACTCCAGTCTTTAGTGTCACATGATCCTTCAGAAATCATTTTAACATGCTGATTTCGTGTTCAATAAGCATTTCTAATTATCAAGGTTGAAAACAGTTGTGTTGCCTAATATTTTTGTGTAAACCATGATGCATGTTTTCAGGATTCTTTGATGAATAGAAAGTTATAATAAAAAATAAAAAAAATTTACTTGCAATAGAAATCTTTTGTATCAAATGTCTTTACTGTCCTTGCTAAATAAAAGTCATCATTTCTTAAAAAAAAATCTTACTGACCCTGCTTACTGACTGATTATGATTATTATTATTATATACCTCTATGATGACATGATATAATATTATAGGCTTATATAAATTATTGTCATTTATTTTATTTAAGAAAAAAAGAGAAATATTTGTCAACCATTGTAATTGGATGAAACGTTTGTAAAAAAAAATTCAATCAACTTGGATGTTTAAGTCATTTCAACTTAAATTACATTAAACTGACTTAAAAAATGAGTTGATTTATGTATAATTTAACTTATTTTGATGAGTTAAAACAATGTAAAAACATGTTGTCATAACTCATTGACCATATAATTTTTTGACAGTGTAGATACTATAAGAGAAATCTTTTTCTTGGTCGCTCAGGAAGAAACAGAACA